TTCGCCGAGGATCCGACGATTGATTATCTGTTCCACCTTACTGATGTCTTCCAACTGCAAGGGGTACATCAAATCCATCCCATCGTCATCACCACATTGCAGCAAGAAGTGTTCGACAGGGTCAGCCGCGTCGGCGCCACCCTTCTCGTACTGAATCTTGGCTGTCCGGGCATACCTGTTGAGTCGCATCAGGAAGTCGCAGATCGGCTCGTAGACTTTACGTCTCGCCGAGTTGTAACGAGTGCGGGCGGATTGGTCGAACTGTGAGCAATAATAATCCAGGAACGCCTCGCTGAGCAGTTTCCAACGTCGCTGAGTCTTCTTCGGCAGCTGCCTGTACCAACGCTTCGCCGCGCGTCCCAAGCATAGCGAGAAAGGTTCGCACCAGGCACTTTGGGGCATCCTGGTGCTCTTCATCTCGTAGAGGAAACGCTTGAGCCACTGGCGCGACGCGTCAGAGCGGTAGCGCTTTTCTTCGAACTCGGCGATTTTGTCGAGCGAGGCGTCGGTTCGGACTTCGAGGTACTGCGTCGAGTCCTCTTCAGTCGCGTCAAAGCTCAAGTTTCGGATGTAGTCCTTCACGGTTTCTTCACGGTTACCTCTCACGTCGAAGGCATCATACAATTCACGGTAACGACCAACATTCCGCTGTCCACGACTCCGCGCTCGCTGAGTTGGGTTTAGCTTCATTGGAGTCAGCATGTGGGAGTCTTCGAAGTACGGAGTCCCTTGCGTAGCGCGGAACACTTCACGTCTCTTCGTCTCCGGGGTCTTCGGCAAAGGAATCTTGCTTGGGTCTTCGCCGAGTGGTTTGAACTCGGCTACTCGGCTGTACACCTTCTTCGTTCCACCAGGGGCCTTCTCCAATCCAAACGCCACTCTCAACTTCTTTTTCCATTGCCAGAGCTCAGCTCCGCCACGGGTCAGACTCCAGTCGGACAGGATGAGGCTGTTTGGTCGGCTGTTGCACCGATAGCCCATCGCCTTCGACAGCAACAAAGTTTCTTCCACCAACTGATTGATGTTGGCTGCACGCACCGGCTGAGTTAGCTCGGGACCCAACATCGGCCACTTCGCCTGCGCCATCGCCACAGGCGCGAACATCATCATCCATTCCGGTCTCGTTCTCATCTCCTCGCCGAGTCGAGCCAACCCTTTATTGGCGCTCGGCGTATCGGCGTTCCTCGTCGCTTTCGGAATAACGGGCGGACGGTCCCCTTGAGCAACGCCATGTTCTTCTTCATCTTCTTCATCGTCCGCACCTTCGTCGAGCTCGGCGGATAAGTTGCGCTCGACAGGACGTGGGGCTCCCATGCGTCCCACCTGCAGCGTCAACTCTTCCACCTCGCCAAGTAGCTCGGCGGTAGTCTTCGTTTCTCCGAGCTCAGCGGTCTCGGCCTTCTCTTCATACTCTTCTTCACTTGCATCACTGTTCTCGCTCTCCTGGTCTTGGCCATCCTCGTCGAGCTGGACGGTTCGTCCCACCTCCATCGTCATGGCGATGAGTCGTTGATCCGCTGGGTCCGACCCCGCGAGAGGCGATCCTCCAGCCGTCGCTGGGCTTCCGTCGCTCGGAGTTGCTGATCCCTTGACCATCTTCACTCTTCCCTTTCTCTTCTCTTCCTCTTAACTTGGTTAGCTGGCACCTATAAAAACAAGCACACACTCCTGTTCCCGGGTCGCGGCATCAGTTGTGGTGTAGTAGAACACACAAATACCGTCAGATGTGGATTCCTTACACAAACCACAACGAATCGCCGAGTAGGTCGGCGGTTGTATGGCCTGCGCAGAGGGTGGTCCCCTCGCGGTCCGGCCCTTCCGAGACAGACGAGTGGCTCGCTTCCATTCGGTTCCGACTAACCAAGTCAGATCACTTCCGAGGCTCCGCCGAGTTTGGTTCGGCTGAGCTCGTTCACAGCCCTGTGCCCTCCACCAAAGGATGGACGACGGCGCGAGAGCGCTTTTACAGGTCACCGAGCGCAGAGGCTGCTCAGCTAGAAGTGTTACGGCATCCGGGCTATCCGACGTACCGGCCCGCTGAGTATGCGGGGCTTTCTTTCGCGCGTAGCGAGACTTTGTCCTACCCGGACCGACCTAATCTCTTGGCGCTACCAGTCAATACCCTACAAGCTATGCCTCTCGAGTATTGACGGCAGGCATAATCCAGCCCTATGCAGGGACTTACCGGAAAAGTGTACACGTGTCTTGGACTAAAAAAAATTCTGCTCTGTTATCTTCTGGGAGCCCTTTCGGCTCCCCCTATTTAATCCTATGCTTCTTATACAAATATCTAGTGAAATGTAGTCGTTTCGGATCTCTACCGACCCTTCAGCTGAGTTCCGGCGACCGTTGAGCTCAGCGGCTATCCGGATAGCGTATCCTGTCCGGATCGCCGAGTACTTACCGTGATCCTTTGCTCCTAAGCTCTGGGTTATCAAACCGAGCCGATTCTTGACCTAAAGTAGGTTGGCGTATGATCGAATCTGGAAATCCCTACACCACACCACCGCAACAGTATTCCCCTCCTCTTTGATTCGGAAATTTTATTCGCGTCTATGATTAAACGCTTACTCTTGCTGAACATCACGTCCTGGTGAGAGTAGACCATACTTAGCTCCTGGTACGTTTATCACGTCGTTCAATACCAGTACGGTATGTTCTCCATCAGCTTCGGTCACTAACTTACCCTAGTACCCGCGAAGCCAAGTCGGTAGTAAGCTCATTTATGCTCTGAGAATTGCTCGTATCTTTCATAAATACAGCGTGGAAGGAGCGAGTTTAGGTGACATGCGCGTCTGACGCGGTGTCGAAATACCACCGCCCGCTCCTCGTATCCCATCCTTCGACTTCCGGCTTCTCTACTACAGTCGGTTCTCGAACCTCATTTGCTTCATTACCTCCGGTATTTACCTGTGCTTCGAGATCCCTTGCAATTCTTAAGCCAGCAAAAGTTTCAGTCACCATCTCGACGTCTTTATCACTGACCAACGTACTGTGCTGCTTTTCATTCATCCTGTGTATGGCTACATTCACCCGCGGTTTCCGCTGTTGCTCTTTCACGGCTGTACCAGTACCGCTCGCCTTCTTTGCTCGTTCTGGGCAATCCACCTTGCGATGCTCAGCCCGACGGCACATAAAAAAACTCTTTGCCTTCTTTGAGTCAGTACTATGCAGTTGTTGATTCTCTGGATTTTCTTTGTCTCCACGCCTATAACTAGTGCTTTCACCATTTTTTGCCCTCCACGTTGATTACCACTACTCTTATTGATAAATTCAGGTTGTCACGCAGCTTCTGCACGAATCCTCTCGCGCAATTCTGTAGGCGTGAAAATAGCTGGATCCGCACTGTAACGGACGGCAGATTTCAAGCTCTCAAACTCTACTGCTGAGGAAGGCTCTCCAGCGACATTTCGACCAGGTCAATGTCCGTAAGGTCAAATTGCCGTGTCGTCAATTTCGTACGTTTACTGAACATCTTGCATAGATGCAGGTTTGCGTCACCCTCCGGCTGGAGCTTCATGTTCCACAATCTGTTCATTAACTGACGAATCATACCCATTTTTGTCGTAGCATTTGCCTTGTTCTCGAACAGACCCACAAACGCTGCTCGAATCTCCGTCCAAGTCTTCTTGTCTTTAATTTGCTGCAAGATATCTGGTGGCACCGATGTGCCCATCATCCAATGAATGTGAAGCCGTTTGTGATCAAAACCTGCCTTGCCTTCCAATATCGATAGCGTATGACGCTGTAGGGAACCATCTGTGATGTCTTCTCACTGAATATCGCCTTCATGACCCATTTGTAGGTATACCAGTCCTTTCCATCCCAGCTCTTGGGAATCCCGTCGCTGTAATACTTAAGCGGCTTCACCATCCTGGGTACACCACAGGTGTTGCTCAGATGTGCTGCGCTTTTGGGTTCAGAACCTGGCTGTAATTCAACCTTGCACCCAAGAAGAGATTGCTTACAACGAACAAGAAAGAAGACTAAATTAAAATGTTCTTAGCGGCTTCGCACAAACTCCTACCTTGTTCCGAAATGTTGGCCGTCTCTCTATAACTGTCTAATTCCTACTCTAGGTTTGCTACAACTATCAGAGCTACAGATCTACATTTCTACAGATTGTATTGTATGCGTGTACCTCTTCAAACTGACATGTGAGCTCATGATTTAGGTATTGCAAAAGTAGCATTACATTTGTCCTGCCTTGTGTCGTATTCAGGGTTGGATGAAAACAAATAGCTTAAAAATACAATTTTGAATTGCGCTGGCGCTCGAATTTATATTTGTCTGTTAATTAATCTGTATGGAGCTGTAGATATTAATATAATATTTGAGACAGCTAAAAACGAAATGGTAATGGTCAAACATGGAGGTGGGAGACACGCAACACCATGATTATATGTGGCCAGCTTGCTTGCCTGTATACTTTGCCAAAGCTAGTACCCGATCAGTGATGTAGATCCCGTGAAGCTCTACTTTTCAGCTCGATGTCCGCTCCAAATAGATTGCGAGAACTGTTGACGCTTTGCGAAAGGGCACAGAACCGCAACTTTATAGCAAGAATCATCGACAGGCTCTCTTTATGGAGCAACTATTGGACAGTTGCTATTTGATACTATGAGCGCAAGGACTGAAGTTTCACATTTGGGCTCAATATAATTCGTGAAAAGCCACTTGGACCTATATATCGGCATCATTGTATCATACCTAATCCAACTGAAGCCAATAACTATTTAAAGGCGGTGATTGGCTCCTGATCGGTTAGTTCATTCAAGGCATGCCCTTCTTCGCCAAGCCAACACTCAAACTGCCAGCTCCTTCTACATTGCCAGGTAATTGTAACGGGGTACGTCCAAGTGTACCCCCTAGTCACATGAAGTGTGACACGTCACACTTCGGGATATCTGGTACATGGTACCAGGGTCGTCCGAGGCCAACCATTGGCTGATGACATAGTTTTTCTAAGGTGACTTATAGCTTATATATTTCACTCATGCTTAGCCTACCTATATATATATTCAGCTTACAACTTACCTTAAATTGGTCACTTCGCTTCCTTAGAGCATCTCCAGCGGCAAGTCTCAACTCCGGTTTTAACGCGAAAGTAACGTGATTGAGACCTGACCAAGTTTTATTAACTTCCAGCAGCAAGTCTTAACAGCGGTTTTTACTTTTTGAGGTTCTAAAGTAGCGATTCAGGTCTTAAGATAAAACTCCGGTTTTAATATATTATGTGGCCCACTCACTTCAACATACGCGGGAAGATTCCAACAAAACCATGGGGAAGGGGCCTGAATGGGGCGACGACGACACTATCCAGTTGTGCAAGGCATGGATAGACACCTCCAAAGACCCTATACGCGGTGCCGGTCAGAAGATGGCTACGTTCTACATGAGGATGTATCAACTTTGGCTTCAAATTAAAAGCAAAGAATCGGATGAGCGTATAACTTCCGCTTTGGGCCGATCGGATTACTGATGCTTTGCTGAAAGCTAGCCCAGGGAGGGTAGATACCATCGGTAAGATAGTACGGCTTTTCATATATAGCTTCATTAAGTTCAAAATAAACTTGAGCTGCCTCGCCATTGATATTGCTGTCAAAAGTGGAGAACGTTCTAAAACATTCAAATCGCTGTTAGAACCTGGCACACCAAAGAATGCATGCCATATCCAAAGGGATTGAGATGCAACAGCCTCCAATATTACTGTTGACTCCTTTTCTTTACCTCTGTAAACGCCTGCCCAAGCTGTTGGGCAGTTCTTCCAAGACCAATACATGCAATCCAAACGTCCAATCATTCCAGGAAACCCACGAGCAGCATTCTTGTCTAAAAGCACCTCAATGTCAAATCGTGTAGGTTTTCGAAGATATTCATCACCAAACAGACGAATAATACTGCCACAAAATGTCTTCAAAGTCTCTAGTGCTGTTGATTCACCAATCCGTATGAGCTCATCCATTTGGTCGGCGCTTGCGCCGTACGCGAGCATCCGCAGCGCACACGTCACCTTTTGCTCTGGTAAGAAACCAGGAAGTCCTGTAGCGTCATGTCTCTGAACGAAGTAGTTACTGTACTCGTCACCTACGAGTGTGTTGACAATAGTCTCGAATAGACTTCGACGCATACGAAATCGGCGGCGAAAATCATCTGTGGACACGATAAGATGACACAAGTAGACGGCAGTTAGTACAGGAATGTGTTTGGTGTAGCAGTAGATACAAAACTTACGTTCATCGTACGTCGGGTTTGGTCCAAAGTAATCGGCCATCCGTCTGGCTCCCAATTCGGCGCGATCTCGAGCTTTTTCTGCGCGTTTTCCTGCGCTCGACCCTCCATACTTAGGTCTGCGCTTTTGGACTGAAGAGGGGAGAATGAAAAGACGGAAGAACTCGTCATCGGAGCTGCCGTCGTCACTGAGGCAGACGCTTGCCGCCGATGCAGAGAAGATTTCCATTACTGGGGAAGAAGGATTTTTTCAGACTGCAGGCTTTAATTGGACAAAATAAAATTGAATAAAACGCTGTTAAGACTTGTTGCTGTATGTCTTCATGTCTCAATCGCCGGATTCGAGGTCTCAACGGCATTCGATAAGCCTTACGATAAGACTTACCGCTGGAGATGCTCTTATGCAAAAGGGTACCTGTGAACTACTGTTCATTAAGAGCTTGTGAGCTCTCGAAGCCAACTTCATCTAGTGCAAGGTGTTGTGTCGCCTTGTCACACTTTGTAGCACTTGTAGTCAACCCACATCAACGCAGGTAGACTACCTGAACGTCTCCAAAGTTCATCACCATGGATTGGAACGACTTCTCCCATCTGAACGACTCCCATCTCGAGTCGGTTCGGATGATGGCTGGCATTGTCGGGATCGAGTCCTTGCAGAGCCTGGTGGCGTCAACACTAGTTGAGCAGCTCGAGTGCGTCAATGCGTTTGACGCCTACGAGCGAGGGCTCTTCGCACATGTGCAGGACAACCTGCCGGCTCTGGCGGCGGAAACAAGTCTGCCACACCCGAAGCCAGTACGGCTGAAGGTGAAGTCGTATGATGGGAAGGAAGATGAGAATCTTCAAGTCTGTGCTCAAGAGGTAGAGCTCGCGATGGACGCGGCTCTGATCTCGACCTAGCAGCTCCGGGTTGCTTTTGCGCTGTCCAACCTTAGCGGTCGTGCTTAGAGTTGGGTGTACACGCGGGAGGCGACATCGACTGGATGTTTCACATCCCGGGCTCAGTTGTGCAAATAGCTCCGCCACTATGGACGCCATGAGCTCCCGTATCTCTTAGATATACTGGTACAACTTGCGTCTTCGTTGCTTGCATGAAAGGAACCGCGAACACTCAACGAAGATATCAAGGTGACTGTGTTCATGGACGGCCTTCGAGTGGGTCCGGCGCGAGCTCAGCTGTTCCCGGTGCAGTCAAGCAACCTCAAAGAGGCGATACAAGTGGGTCTTCAGAAGGAATCCAGCCATGCTAGGCGTGCACGCGGGTCTCAGCATGACAAGGGAATTCTGTGTCGAATCCCTTTCGGGCCAACCCCACCAGACCAGTTCCCACGGAACTTGGGTCCACCGAGCAGCGCGACAGTCGCTGTTTTAGCTGCGGGAAGGTTGGCCACTCCAAGCGTGACTGTCCCGCGGAGAGACACCGGAGAAAATCTTTCCCCAAGCCCGTTCTCAAGGGTCGCTGGCAGAAGTCAGGATCCCGGGGACAGGGGAACGCCGGAGACCAGTAAGAGCGGGCCACCCTACCGAAGAAGAACTAAGTCTTCGTGAGTGGTGCGCGGGTGGCGCGTACCACGGGGACTTAGTCCCTGAGAGGCTTCGTACTCTCGATTCGGCGAAAAGCACCGGTGGGCTGCTCGTAGTACGCGGATGTGCACGGGGATACGATCACCTTTTTAGAATCTTGATTGATTCTGGGGCGTCAAATAATTTTGCACGACGGTTGCTCGTAATAGCAACAAGGCGTCCGATGCTTTGAGAGAAATCAAAGGCACCGGAAGGAGTCAGTGCGACTGGCCGACGGTAAGGTCGTCACTGTCCCCAACATCCAAATAAATCGGGCCGTCAAGTTTAAGGACTTCGACAGCCCAGTATAGTATTATGTTCTCAACATGGATCCCTTCGATATGATCCGGGGCATGACCTGGCTCGAGAAGCATGAGCCCAGATTGACTGGCGAGGCACGGCCATCGGCACCAGCCGCCCTGCGCAGTCCGACAGAGCATTGGTGAGTCATGTTCTCACCTCTGTCAGGGTACCGAAGCATGCAGCAGATGCTTGGGAGTCGTCGACGTATATGACGACTCCGAGGACGCTTCGATGGTGGCGGCGCTCAGAGGCGGCGCTGGCCAAGTGGGTAACTTAGGTCCACACGCGAGTAACATAGTTCCGCAGACAGCTACTGCTGTCACGAACGCTGGTAATAGCGTGTACAAGGTGTGCAACAGAGTTCCACACACTGGCGACCAGACTTTAAATGAAGAGCAAAGCGTCGGATATGCCTCCTGTGTGGGTAGCACAGTGCCACACGAGGTTGCCGAAATCATAACTAACGCGGAAGACGCGGAATTCGCTTGCTGTGTGGGTAACATAGTATCTCGAGTGCCTCGGATGTCGGTACCACGACATCCCCAGGCGTGGGCAACGAAGTTCCACGTCACGGACGACGCCGACGACGATGCCGCCGCTGCCTCCGCCGAGAGTCGGATTTAAACCTCGTTCAGATCGACGTCGCTTCAATCGACTTGACGTCCAGGGCCCGGACTCCTCCGATACGGCCGGAGGTAGCGTGTTATCACATCTTCGATGGCGAGACCGGATTACCTGTCTGAAGCTCGACATCCTCGCGGAGGCGCACACTTGGGTCGCGAGAAGACCTTCTGGTGGATCCACATGTACAAGTGAGCCGCCCTATGTAGGAAGACATGCGAAACAGTCAGCTTCGTTATAGAGCTTGCCCGTTCCACCTGACTGTTGGCAGTCGATGGGTTCATCTTTGGGCTTCCCGCTGACAGACACGGCAGCACTAAGATTTTGACGCTCGTGTGTCGGCCGAGCAAGATGATACATCTTGCTCCAGTACGTCACTGTCACAGGCGAGCAGACCGCAAGGTTGACCGTCGATGACGTGTTCCGCTATCACGGTCTCCCAGAGACGATTGTCTCAACCCGAGACTCGCGGTTCACGGATGCGCTCTGAAAAACGCTGGTTCCTTTACTGAGAACCCGTCCGCAGATGTCCACTGCGGGCCATCCACAGACAGACGGCCAAACAGAGCGCGTCAATCAAGTGATCGAGGACACTTTGCGCAGTGTGTGCGCGGAAGCACCACGTACGTGGTCGACACAGCTTTCCTTTGTTGCGTTTACACTCAGCAACGCGTTGCACGTGTCCATGGGGTTCACGCCGTTCTACTTGAATGGCTTATGTTACCCCAGAGTGACTCTCACCCTTCGAGGAGACACTGCAGCCTCTTTTCTAAGTGGGGGGGGGTCACAAAGCTCTTGCCTCCCAGGTCTCAGATGAGAGACCGGTTTCGCTGCGGAAACAAGTTGAATTATTTGTGGACATCAAGCTGATCGTAATCAGGAGGGTCCGCGGTGTCATGGCAGCGTTCCAGGACATACAGAACGAGTACTCTGACAAACATGGAAGAGGAAACTTAACTGTGTTTAAGGTTGGTAAATTAGTGTTATAAGACACGAGGAACCTTCCGCTAGACACTGTAAGCTCTATCGGCAGCAACAAGGTGAAGAACCGCTTCATTAAGTCGTTCGTAGCCCTGGCCAGACATGGTGTGTCGTACACCGTCGACCTGCCCAAGTCAATGACGACGCACCCGACGTTTCTACGTTGGAAGTTTTAAGCGGTATCATGATCTGCAGGGGGTTGCTGACTCGCAGACCCACCTTTACCCAGCTCCTCGAAGCGTGGACCGGCCACAGATGTCAGCATTCAAGCCTCAGGCGGACAAGCAAGGCTGCGGTAGAGATTGTACGCCGAAGGGGCCCCGTACGAACGAGCCCCAGAGCCATACGCCGAGTACGTCGGGTACGCACCATACGCGTACGACTAAGAGTGCGCCAAATGCGGTCCCGGATGTGGCAACATAGCCTCAACACGTCGGATCATGCGGAAGGCCTCGTCAACATCGGACGAAGAGGCCCGGCGGTCCACCCGCAGATGCACGCTCTAGACATCCCGCACCAACTGAGCCAGGCGGCCCGCGAGGCGAACGAGCACGCCCTGATTCCCGGTCAGAGCGGCAGCATCACCGCCGGTCCCAAGGCCAAGTGTAGTCTCAAGCACGAGGAAGCGTTGACGGAGGCGGTCAACCTCAGGGCCCTGCGTTGGACTTACAGGAGAAGCACTCACTCGGACTAGAGTAGCGTTCCGGCAGCTCTGAGAACACGTACTCGTTCGAGGGCACCTCCACCCCTGCTTGACCGGAACGGAGAAGTCCACTACCACATGGAGCGGATTCTCCAGGAGCAACGGCGTCGCCGTAAGCGACAGCCTCTCGTGAAGTGGAGGGGTTATTTTTACCCCGAGAACTCGTGAAAGCCTAGTGAGAGGTCCCTGATAGACTGCCCAAAGGCTGTCGCAATCTGGGAACAGAAGCGGCGGCAGCTTCGTAAGTAGTCCGGGGCTTCTTGCCCGAACGGGGTACGGACGTTGATGACACTCCATACCCGCGCTCATCGTGGGCGCTAGAATCCGCGCGCTTCAGAATGTCCCATGGCAGCATGCACTTGCTGACCAAGTGGGCGAGCCGGACACGAAGATCACGCTGGAGCAGGATGTGGGGCAGCAACTGATCTTCATAGAGTTCTCGTAACTCCGAGGGTTGTACTTGAGAGGCTCAGCCCACGCCTAGAACATGTCCTCACACGAGTTCCAGTTGGGATAGTTCTCGGGAAGAGCCCAGGGGTAACCCGGGGTATCACGAACGACCTCGATCAGCAGTGGGAGAACTTCCAAGCTGCCCAGCGCATGCGTGGGGGTCCGGTGGTGGCACATGACAACCAGGGAGCTGCCGTAAACTCAAGAGGCTATTGGCCTCCCAAGGAGAGCGCTGGGGGCGACCTCTTTCTGGCGATCCTCGTCGCTCCTTCTGGCCTTGTGCGTGGCCACCGACAAGGCCACGAGGAGCGACGAGGATCGCCAGAAAGAGGTCAGCCCCAGCGCTCTCCTCGGGAGGCCAATAGCCTCTTGAGTTTACGGCAGCTCCCTGGTTGACATGTGCCACCACCGGACCCCCACGCATGCGCTGGGCAGCTTGGAAGTTCTCCCACTGCTGATCGAGGTCGTTCGTGATACCCCGGGGCTCATGGATAGCACCCTCCTCCTCCTCCTCTTCCTCTTCATCCGAGGAACCGAAGAGGTTTCGATAGGAGTATTCAGTCGCCTCCTCCTCGTGGAGTGAAGACTTCGAAGCCGTGCGCTTCTTAGAGGGCTTGACGTCTTCGGCGTTGGCGGACTTAGCACGCGCTAAACCCTCGGTCAGCAAGAGATGTTTGGGAGGTTTCTCCTCCTCGTCGTCGCCAGCTCTGGGAGAGCCCTTAGCCATGACGACAGGACTCTCAGAGCGCACAGACGATCTTAGACTGTGATCACCGTGGTCACTAGCGAGCAAGTGCACGCTGTCGATGTCGTGCTCGCTGGGCACTGGAGTGTGCCCTCCCACGGAGCCCATAGGAGCATCGTGAGTACTCCCGGACTCGGCCTCGTCCTCACCGCCCGAATCGAGCTTACTTTCAGCGAGCCGCGGGTTTGGCCGGTCGTCTGGAGAGACCGAGGGTGACGGACTGCGGCGCTTGCTCGCACTCTTGCTCACAGCCGCGTCACCAGATGAGCCTATCACCTCCGAGGCCACCTTAATAGCCTCCTGGAGTGCAGAGCCTTTGCTGCGAGGCTTAGAGCTCTTGGCTTGCGCCTTTCCAGCAGCATCCTTGGAGCGTATTTTTGCACTGCTCTTTGCAGTGCCCCGGGGCTTGCTAAAGGTTGATGTGAAGACCGAAAAGAAGAGCGCTCAACCCCTGCTAGAGGCTCTAACTGTTAAGTGAGCCTCGTGCGGCCAAGTTGATGTATTTGGACTTTGAAAATGAAAGTTTGTGACGTACACTTCTTCATTCTGATTGGTCTGTAAACCGAGCCTAAGTGGGGGAGGATGTAATGGGGTACCTAGTCCTAAGTGTACCCCTAGTTACATGAAGTGTGACACGTCACACTTCGGGATATTTGGTACAAGGTACCAAGGTCGTCCGAGGCCAACCATTGGCAGATGTCATTGCTTTTCTATAGGTGACTTATAGTTTGATTATTTAGCTCAAGCTTAGCCTATTTATAAATATACTCAGCTTACAGCTTACCTTAAATTGGTCACTTCGCTCCCTTAGGAAAAAATGGGGCCTGTGAACTTCTGTTCACTGAGCATTTGTATACTCTCGGAAGCCAACTTCCTCTAGCGCAAGGTGCTGTGTGACCCCGTCACAGTAACGAGGAGTTGTCTTCAGCAAAATCCCCCGTAAAGACGCCTATATCGCCATTTAAACAGAAAACTATTTACTTATTCTTGCCTTGCTGAAGATACACTTCCGTTAACGTCCAGCGGTGGTCCCGGGATATCAGTTTTCAATTTGCTCGTTTATGACCGCAGCTTCAGCAACACGAACATGCGCGCGGGCTTTCTGCTATTAGCCACTTTGCGGCTTGCAAGTATCGACACTACGTCGCTTTCCTCAAAATATGCCGTCAAGAGGAAATTTGACGCCACGAACCCGGGCCCCAACGAAGCGCAAGATATCCCCAGAAAAAATCGTATTAGAGCGCTGTCCAAAAAGAAAATAGATCGTTTTTATCGTCAGTTTGTTTAGAATGTTGCACGAAAAAAAAACAAGGCAGCAGTTTGTCTCGTTTTACGACGGCCAAATGAAATAAACGCGGCGCCAATTTCTTCTAGGCATCTTCTAATTGTTTTCGTCGCAGCTTTAACGGCGGCAAGGTGACGGAAGCTCAGCGAAGACTTGCTCTGTACACACGCCTCCATCGAGGGCGCTTGGACCTAAACGATGGACATGGGTATCTACTACTAGTACAGTAGTAGCAAAAAAGCGATGGTCTAGCACTAAGTTCAGACTTCCTAGTTGTGGCAGAAGGTCTGGGGAGCCGCAAATATCAGCTGTGCGCTATGAGCGAGCAGCAAGAGGACATGCTAATGGAAGGTTGAGATGATAGACGCCTGGAAAACGATCTAATCGCTACTGACGGCCGTCAGGTGGTACCTGCCAATTGTGATTTAGGCACTGGCGTACGAGATGTGGTGTGATGGAGGCCGCTGCTGCTGCTGAAAATAATTTTGGCTCTGACCAGAGTGATGAACAAGATTTCGAGTGAATGGATGTCGTTGATGCAGGTGCTTCTATCAACGATGGGGAGCTACTGGCTATCTGCTTGCTTTGCATTCTACTTGTCGTGGTACTTGGACAACTGGACTGCAGATCGATCCGTGGTCCTCGTACGGAGACTGGCGTTGTGCGAACGGACTTCTTTTGTACCTTGAAGGTTCAGCGTTCGTGTACAGCCTACAAGAAAGTGCTGCGATGCAGCCCAAAATCATTTGACGCATTACAGGAGCTGTTCGAATTATTGTACTATCAAAACTATGGCTATCCCGATAATAATATTCAGTACCATTTTGATATCAAGCTTGCTGCTGTATTTACGTATTATGAGAAGGAATGCGGAAAAAAGGGCGATGACATCGGTGGTGCTGCTGCGCAGTTAGGAATGTCACGGACTGCAACTGGGGTCTATATCAAACGTCTCGAAGACCTCCTATACGACACGATGCACGAAGTCATATATTTTCCAGCTTGCTCTGCTGCGGAGGAATGGGAAGATCTGGTAAACAGATTCGTTAGTCAAGGGAGCGACTACCCTGATGTCGCCTGTGCTTCTGACGGAACCATAATTCAAACGCGGCTTCCACGTGACCACATGGTACGCGCTTTTGCTTTAATTTAATTCTATTTAGAATTAACGCCGACGTGTACCATAACTCTGGCCAGTCAATATGGAACCAATCGGAAGTCTTGGGACCGCGTGCTCGATATATTTGCCCTGCTAGAATCAACTGGCTGGCAGACTCGGAATTCAAGATGTGGTCATTTCTAATGGTGCCATTTGATGAGCGGTGTGGCCGGCGAGTGTCAAGGTAGCAAAGATGATATGTATGACATTTTACGCAGAAATGGTTGTACAGTACTAATTAGTTTTCAGTGTCAGCTACAATTTCCATCACTCGTCAACACGCATCCTGGTCGAGTGCATTTTCGGCAAGCTCAAAGAGCGTCTCAAAGTGTTGCATGGAGTGATAGACCGGCATGCCCATACGACTAACGCTCGTATGATATGTGCGGCGGCTGTGCTGCATAATTTGCTCATTGATATCAGCGACGACGTCGAGTTCGAGTGGACACGTGACGACGATGCTCGGAAGTAAGCGATGCGTGCATTTGATAAACACTGCGATCGCACTCAAGATGATTTCGATTTAGGAGAAGCAGAGCGGAATGCATATTTGGAACGCTTTAACAGCCAAGATAACGAATAAAGGCTTAATGCAGACGCTGCCACCTCGCCCCTTTGTGCTAATCTCTTCAAGTTCGCGCTGATAGTGACTACTGCGCCACGTTTGCTTAAGAGCTGTTGCGACGAATCGGCTGCTTCATCTCGGTGAAAAGATCGATCGCGGAAGCAGCCATCTGCTGTAGATTTTTCATGCTCTGGCGTAGCACCTGACGCGCCTCACGCTGAGTCTCCATGTAAGTCGCTTGGGTTGCAGTAGCTGCAGAAATAGTCGTAGCCAGCCAGTCTATCAAATGCCCCAAACTAATTAGCGTGGCTTTGAGCCGGTGGATCTTGGCGAGTCGTGAGAATTCGCTCGAATGAGCCAAATCCTGGTTGAAGTGAGCTAGCAATAACATCGACCGGTCTACACAACGTTCGCGTAGTCTTTGGCTTGGCTTGATTTTTTGCGATCGTACTGGCTTCTACGCAGGCTTTACTAGGCGTATCGGAGCACGTATCATCGGAGCATGCATCGGCACCAACATTGCTCTCCTCGCCGTCGCTCCCGGAGTCGTCACCGTTGGTGAACTACGAGTGGCTGTGACGGTCGGAAGTATACCACCTGTTACTATGGAAAGCTTAGCTAGGCGCTACAGCATTCATTATGGAGAGACGTGCTTGAACTTGGCCTCGTATGGAGCAATCAATGCGGACTTCCTGGACTGCCAGGATGGCAGGTAAGAGCGTAGGAATCGATTAAGCACCCTAACGAGCAATACACGTTGTCGTTAGGGGGTGTTCCAGCTCCCAATCTACTGCCTTGATGCTGTAAACCATCACAGTGGCTCCTGATTCGAATATGGCCTCACCCGTACAGCCAGGTTTTCCAGAAAAAACATCCCAAAGCAGTGGCCACAAGGCCATGAGCCCCAAACCAGTGCCTCGCGATACTCTTTCTTCACGTCCATGGGTTTCTCGTTAGCTTCTTGCTGGCTTGTGTGTCATCATTTGAGGTTGAACCCTGAAAACAGTTTCTGGGCATCTCAGGGTACTCGCGCTCTCCATCGTCATCTTCCTGTGAATAGTCTGCGTTCAGTGCTTGGCTTCCAGTTGCTAGGAGCTGATTTCGTTTGGATCAAAAACCAGAGCTAGCAGCATTGGGCTTATTTTTGAACTGCTGAACCGAAACCTTGCGCGGTACCTTGCCCTCGCCCCAGGCTCCTTAAATGAGAGATTACACGAGGAACGTATGCACAGTAGATTTCCACTTTGCTGGCATCTGCTTGGTGTCCGATCGTTTGGCAGCAAACTTGTTCACGATGCGTGGGTTCTTAAACCGAGTCTCGATTGCAAGAGATGTAAGGGCAATCGTCCAGCGCATACTCAACGGAGCATTTTCTGATGTCGCCTTGGTGGAGGCCACTTATTTGGCAGCCTTCTGCTTTGTCGAGACCACCTTGGTAAATTTCTTCGAGGCTGTCATTTTGATGTCTGCACGTGTAAACAGCGACTCCATCGTGGCGGATGGTCTCGTGGCGGTTATCTTTGTGGCCGCCGCCGGCTGAGCTTTGTAGACAGGACCCCTAACGTTTTTGCGAGGTGGTTTGGTGGAGCAAAAGAAGATGATTTCGAAGCCAAGCTTCCAGCACTATTCTCACTTGCATCAACACGATGTCTTCCGTCCACAAACTAGGATTAGCCGTTCCCACGCCACAGACCAGGCAAGAAAAAAAATCAATTTACACTAATTTCCCCGATAATCCTCTATTGCAGTATACATTGCAGTTGGCTCTCTATGTGCAGTTTGGTATTGCAATTTAGTGGAGGCACGCAATCGGGTATTTTAATTGCAATATTCGAGTTGCAATAATCTAGTGTTAAGTAACTTGAAGTCTATGTTGACGTTAATTCTATCTTCGAGGTCTTATCGGTTCAAGGCCTCTAATTTACAGCATAGCGCAGCGGAAGAGATTACATTCTAACTGTAGAAAAGTTTGTTTCTCCGAAGTGCACCAAAGGTTTCATTTTTGAATCCGCTCAGACGCAGTATCACCAACATCCCTATTGTACGCCTCGCCCATCTCTACAATGGCTCTCTTCAAAACCAAGTCCAGACGAGGAGAAATGCCTGAGCCTATCAAGTTTTACTTTAGCATAAAGGCTTCGGCTGACGCTGTGGTGTACACGTGCTTAAAGTGCAAACGTACGCCTACTCAGCGTTTAAAAACTGGTTACACTAATTTGAATCGGCACTTGGAAGCGTGCCAGGGCAAGGGGATTCCGAGAAAAATGTACCGCAGTTCTCAAAACACAGAACAACAACTTGGTGTTCGAGACCATTGACTTCGTGAGTGAACATGACCTGGTCGTGTTCACGTGGCTTAAATGGGTCATAATGAGGGACTTGCCCTTTTCCGAAGTCGATAATGAACTGACACGTGAATTCGCTGGTATTAGATACATGTATTCCAAGCATGCATCAAGCAAATCTGTACGGACATACATAGGTGAGCTTGTACCCCTCGTCGAGAACATTATCGCGACTGAAATTTTAGAGTTTTTCGCCATTATGCATGATGGATGGAAGAACAAGATGACACATTACGTTGCTGTATTTGCGCTGTACATCAAGGACGATAAGTGTAGGGAGGTGCTTCTTGGGTTTTCCCCTCCATTGGACGAGAAGTCGTACACCGCTGAGTCGCACCGAGACCTGCTAGAATACGTACTGGAGGTTTACAACCGCTCACTGGCCAATATATCCGTTATAATTGGGGATAATTGTGCTACTAATAAAGCGACGGCTGATCTAGTGAGTGTACCGTTGCTAGGATGTGCAGCCCACAAATTCAAACTGGCCGTCAAGCGCTGGGTGAAGGCACATCCCGCGGTACGCCGCGTCATTGTAAAGTTGAGCGCTATATGTACACAAGCGACGAGCCTCAGGGCAGCGGTTGCACTGTGAGAGCTGACTGAGCTGGTGATGATTCGAAACAATGACACGCGTTGGTCGTCAACTTTCCAGATGATAGATCGTTTTTTTAAGATTGAAAACGAGCTTCGTAGTGTTCGTGCGATCGAACTCCCCCCTCCTGCAGAGCTTTAAGTACTCAGAGACATATATCCAACCTTGAGGAAGCTTGACGCCGTGATGGTCGGCCCCCAAGACAAGAATGTTACCGTGGTGTCTGCTCGCGGAACTTTCGATGCTATTCTTGAAGACTATCCCGAGATGAGTCATCACCTTGCACAAGACGCCTCCATTGTACATGATCCAATATTCGAAGCAGCCATTACGAAGGCAGGAGACCTGTCGACCGGAGAGAAAACTGTTATAAAGCAGTTTGAAGCTAAAACAGCTCCCCCGTCTAGACGCATTGTACATGGCGAAATGGTCGAATATTATCACCAGATACAAGAACGCAAGCGCCTAAAAATGACCAAAACAACGACGTATGAGAATCTCAGCTTCAAGAAAGGAACCTCTGCAGCAGTTGAGAGGCTGTTTAGTGTAGCTAAATACGTTATAACGGACCGCCGATCCCGACTGACTCCTGTCATGCTCGAAGCCATTATATTTCTCAAGGTAAACCGAAATTTCTGGGACTCACGTCTTGTTACCAAAGCGATAAGGAAGTCGCATGGTGGTGAGCAAGTGTAAAATTTAGTTCAGTTGAGTATTGCAGATTTTTTTTCCAATTTGATATTGCAATATCGTCGTCACCTGCAATCTAGCATTTTGATTGCAATTTTTTCCCGGCGAATATACCAATACATTTTTTTCCCTTCCCTGCCACAGACCATCACTTGGCCACTCCAGTGGCCTGGGTCTGATAAGATTTCTTCGCGCGCAGGAGAGCTGGCCCTTCGGTGATTGGACATACTCCGGTGACGTTGGGGGTGAAGGGTGAATGAGGAGCCGACGTGCTGCACGTGCGGAATGAAGGAGTGTGTGTTGAAGTGCGCGAGATGCCTTCCAAAACGCATTTGAAAATTATTCGTTTTGACGGCTGTGAGGTAATAAATTGAAGATACTGGTTGGACATGCGATTTATTTCTCTGCTTTTTTTGCGAGAAAAATAAACTGGCAGCCAAAAAATAGATCTCTTTTCTGTTTGGACAGCGCTCTTATAAAATACGCTGCTGGTTTATTGTGAACATCACAGATACTTCTATGAAAGGGCTAAAACCATGAAACCTTGGAACAAAATTAAAATAATGTCCTGCAACTCATTAGCTTCTGGTGCGTTACAATTGGGGGGGGGCTCTTACCGATCACGATACGCTCACAGGCAGCACTTCGCCTCAGTAGTGGCGACGTCGGGCTCCCAGTCGCATGCCACGGACTGCGGTGGTGGCGAGCATGACGAACACGATGATGAAAGCGAGCTTGCTCATGCTTGGGAGAGACAGTTGAAAGGTGCTTGCGGCTCAGACACCGAGTTGTGAAGTGAGAGATCGGTGAGTCGATTCCTCCAGCCCCAGTCATCGAGGGAAATGCGGCCCTGGGCACTGGCTGCTTTAATGGCGTGCGGTATTCGAATATTGGCCTTTTCGGTAACCTGCGTCCCCATATTCGAAGCACCTAGCGTCAGCAATTCGCTCGCACATCGTTGCAGTAGGCTCCGACAGCTTAGATGGACCACAAACGTCCACATTCAGTGTCCTCTTGAAACAGATGACGGCACTCTGACCAAACGTCAATGTAATGAGTCACGGCTCCCCCATCGCTGGCGTCACGTCTCCTTTACCAAGCGCATGACTGCCGTGCTGTCATTATAGAAGGGGGGGATCGGACTCACTACAGCCTTAGCGTTGCTGCAGAGCGGCTTTAAGCATGTCAGGGTCGTTGCGGACAAGTTCGATGCCACCACGTCCCACGTCACTGGAGGGCTCTGGGTGTCTTTTGCGCTACCCGACGGAATAGATACCAGCCGACCTCGCAAGTGGTGCGCGGTGACGTACACGTGGCTGGACACGCTTCGCAAGGAGAAGGGGGAGAGGCTGGGCATTCATATTGTCCCGGGCGTCGACATGTCCGCCCGTTGGAGCGCCGCAAACGATGAGTGCGACGCATGTTGATTTTCTAACGGCATAGACAAATCTAAGCTATGGTGATACGCGAATAGTTCCTCCATATTGTGCCGAGAACTTCCGTCTACTAAGCCAACAAGACGCTACTAAAATTACGTCTGGAGCGATGCACGGCTTCGCGCTTGACGCACTCATCTAAACCCAAAGTACGTTGGCTGCTTGGTACGAAGATACTGACATCGTTAACGCTCTTGTCTTGGATAGACCTTTCATGCTGTGGCTTCACGAGGAAGTCGCTAAGCAGGGTGGTACTTTCGAGCAGCGTCGTGTCATTTCTCTTGACGAGGAACAGTGCGACCTACTGGTGAATTGTTCCGGTGCGAAGTCAACAATCAATCCGACAACTGTAAGGTGGGCTGATGCACTGGCTGTTGTTGCAGGACTGGCGGCGAAGGAACTGGCTGGATACGACACGGTATTTCCGTTCCGCTGCCAGATCATCAACGTGTTTCATTCAAAGCCGAACGAGCCCAAGGTGTCGGTCGACAAAGATGGACAGCACGCGTACATCATCCCTCGTCCGGATGGCGACGTTGTGTTGGGAGAGACAGTGCAGGAGCATAACTGGAGTACAGAGAACAAGGACGATGATGTTGACGGGGTGTGGGAGCGGTGCTGTCGTCTATGGCCTGAAGTTCGTAACAGCAAAGTGATTGACAAGATGGCGGGCCTTCGACCAGGTCGCACTGGAGGTGTGCGTCTTGAAATGCAGGCCACTGCGACTAAACAGAAGGCGGTAGTGGTCCACAACTACGGCCACGAGGGATCAGGCCACACCGCTGTGCTCAGGACGTGGCTAAGCTGGCCAAACAGCGCTTCAAGAGAATGTACTGAGATAAAGATATTCTCAGACTTTATGTTCTTATACGAAGAGTTTATTCGAACTTCTTCAGATCAGCGTGACTCCACTCCTTAATACCTTCCGCACCGCTCTCATAGTCGGATACCATACCTTTGGCCACAGCCTTCACCGTGATCTGGTATGACTACAACAACACAAGTGTAAAGCTCATGCCCAGATCCTCACAGCCAACAACGAGTACGTACCCCCGGAATCATCCAGCCGAACATTTTCTCAGTTCCTCGCAGTAATTCTCCACGCTGCAGCATTCCCGGTCGGAAGATGGACGTACGCTGGAACTTCATTTGCTGCACTTTGTCCTCCACTTCGCCCTTTGTCTGGGGATACAGGAACCAGCTGTCCTTGTTGGCGCCCTGAGACGTCAAAAGACCCAAATACGGGACGTCTGCGGCTTTGGACAGCTCGGCGAACTTGGTCACGTACTCCAGATCCACTACAGCAACATATGCATTCGTTAGCGCAACTTTAGCTCAAGAATCGGCCCTGGACGATGTCATTATACCTTTGCGGAAGGCCTCAGCAGAGCCAGCGTCTTTGCGGGTCGTGCCCAGACATGAAAAGGCAGCGTTCACCTTGTCTGAAGGCTTGATATCAGCCTCCGAGAGACTGTTGAAGTCCACCTGCCGAACTTCCAGCTTGCTCTTGGCCGCTTCCGCGTCCAACGACGGGAACGTCGAGCTCCAGGCTGACTCGGGGACGTCGCGACGCGCTAGAGCGATGACCTTCGAGCACTTGGCAGAAGCCACGAGCTCAGAAACAAGGTCGCGGCCGACGGCGCCAGTCGAGCCAATCACGAGCGCAACGTACGAAGACATCGGAGAAGATCAGTACCGGTAAATGAAGGATAAAGTTTTGCACAAAAAGCGTTTCTGCGACATGTGGCAGTGGCTCGCAATCATTCTAATAACATCTATCCATCAAAAATCTGCTCCCGCAAATTAACATTTTAGCTTAACCCTTTAAGACCTGAGGTACCCTGCCAGGGCCTCCAAAAATGTAGCCAATAAGATTAGCGTATTTCGCAATTTCTACCAATGACTTATGGTCATTTACTATAGTGGTATCTTTCTGGTCGAGATAGAGTCCCAAACTGGGACTCTTAGAAAATAAAGAGACAGGGCACGACAGAAGGGACTGGCAAACGTTCTATAAATGTATATATAGCCAATCGTATGCTTACGTAAGAGGCCCCCTGAGGGACTTTAAGGCTTAGGTCCTAAAGGGTTAACATGTAAATCCAGTTAGTATTATAGCAGGCTTTCTAACTTTTTGATTTGTAGATAGTTGCAAGATGACATAATATGTAGAATACCGTACTTACATTATTAGCGAAGTTTTATAAAAGTCCAGACATGTACAGTACTGCACCCCGTTTTCGCGCCCGCGGACCTCTAATAAACTGTGAGACCTAATTCTCCCAAGTTCAACGATGATGTCAATTGTATGCGCAAAAGGGGTGCTCATCTCCATTTTTTAAAGGTTTTCCCCTCCCCGAGGAGGGATGACCTGTCCAAAAAATTTGAGCGCGAAATGAAACGATACAAAGACACCCATTAAACAATTTGCAAAGTCTCGCAATGTCCTGTCGCCCCTCCTCCTACTCTACACTGACTTTGGCTCAGAAACACAAGCTGTGTCTTAAGGCTCGGGCAGAGCCATCGTAGACACAAACGCAACTTGCCACATGGGCGACTACCGAGTTCCAGACTGCTTCCAAAGTTGGCGTTTCGACAATTCGTGGCATTATTAAGAATAAGCGCAAATTCGACGACATCCCGGAAGCACAGGCAAGCAGAAAAAGACATTGCCCTGTCAAGCTAGGCGCCACCGACAAACAACTCATGGACCTTGTCAAAGACTACAAACACTGGCATCGCAAGGGTACCATCAATGGATCGCAAGTGCGCCGCCTCGCACAAGAAATCGAGACAATCCTCAGCAAGCCGAGTCGGGGCTGGCTGTACAAGTTTCAGCTGCGCAACGGGCTCTGGTTCAGCGTTCGGCACGGAGAGGCAGGGTCACTTGATGAGACTGAGGTGGTAAAAGGGAGACAGGAGCTAAAAGCCATTGTTTCTAAGTATCACCCACGTGATGTTTATAACATGGATGAAACTGCTTTTTTCTATCGTCGAGAGCCTAAAGGAACACTCACAACTGATAAAAAGGAGAAGGGCACGAAGCAGTCGAAGGAGAGAGTGACGGTGTGTGTGGCTACGAATGCATACGGTACAGACCGTCTTCCTTTACACTTTATTGGCACTGCAATGGTTCCTCGACCTCTGAAGGACGGCAATGTTTTCGAAGAGCTAGGTGTAACTTACACTAATGCGGGCAAGGGCTGGATGAATACTGAGAAGTACTGTGACTGGTTACTACGACTTAACGCGAGTATGAAGTTACAACATCGGCATATCCTCCTTCTAGTCGATAATGTATCCTCTCATAGCGAAGTGCTGGTCCAGGGAGAGCTGTCACATGTGCGAGTTCACAAACTTCCCCCAAACACTACCGCTGCGTTGCAGCCGATGGACCAAGGTATTATAAAATGCCTAAAGGACGAATACCAGAATCAGAAGGAGGGGTCGGAGATGGAAATGTTCCTTCGTGGAAATGAATATAAGCCCGTGGACCTCTACACGGCGATGAAATGGTGTGCACAAGGATTTCGAAGTATTTCCGAGGCTACAATTCGAAACTGTTGGTGCCGTACGCGCTTCATTTCCAAAATGGACATCAACTATTTACTGAATTAGTAAAGCTAAAAACAATACATAGACTGTGTCTCTGCAAACTTTATGTGATCGGATCTCTGATATGGTCCACCCCCGCGAAAACGGGGTGCAGTACTGTATGAGACTGCGTCAAACAAAATGAAACTTACGAACCTAAGTACGAATCGCAATCTAATTTGATCTATCTTTAAAGCGATTAAAAACAGACAACAACAGTGAAATCCGGGTCCAAGCATGGTTTTCCCACCAATCCGTATCCCATATTTGGGTATTTTGCCTCTCCACCGCCGCCAGCTCATCTTCAGATGCTGCGTCCAGCAACAACTCAGACTCGACGACGACACACTTCGGTTTTCAGCAGGTGCCCGAAGAAGACAAAGAACGCATTGTGGCGTCTGTGTTCCATAATGTGGCTGAGCAGTACGAACTCCATACTTGATACCTTCCGTTTGACCCTTTAAGTTGATAAAGTGCTGCTATATGTTGCCAGATACGACGTCATGAACGACTTTATAAGCGGCAGCATGCATCGCATCTGGAAGGACTCGTTTGTGGACACTCTTCACCCTGTGGGTCCATTAAAGTGCCTGGATGTGGCAGGAGGTACTGGTGTCATCGCCTTCCGTATCGCTGAGCAATTATCTAAGTCTTCTCGAGGCACTGAAGCTCCGACATCACCGTGTGTGACATTTGGACTTTGAGGACAATTCCTTTGACGTCTACACCATCGTGTTTGGTATTCGTAGCGTAACTCATGTGGACCGCGCTATCAAGGAAGCTTACCGTGTACTCAAGCCTGGAGGCCGCTTTATGTGCATGGAGTTCAGTCAAGTGCCCCCAACCCATTGATCCGCCAATTTTACGACGCTGTGAGTTTTTATAAAATGTGAAGATCTGGGATGGAGATGCTAAATCTTATTTTTTAATTGTAGTACTCGTTCAACGTGATCCCTCTGTTGGGCGAGAAGGTATTGCTGTCGCGCGTTATACTTTTATTATATATGAAGGTTACTGTTCTGACACCGGGCGGATCTCACCGTCGTTGTCTGTACTACTCATTGGGACGCAATAGAAAGCTACGATTCGGCGCACAGGCGACAGCATTAAATGAAGATCCGACGCAATGGCTGACCGTTCCGACGAGTAGGTGGGAGATTGTTCTCTACTGATCGCTGCGCTTTGGTGTCCGTGAGGTTATACGTCGTGGCGATATATCGCTCGACATTGTTGACAACTGGGAGTGCAACCTGAGCAGCGTCTTGCAGGAAATCATCATGCTGTAGGGCGCCTATCATCAGCGTAATGGCGCCAAACTGTTCAAAACTATTCGGCGCCAGCAGCACACGCCCACACCGACCTCCAGCCACTTGATGTAGCTCATGAACGATATCGTCTGTGAATGAATTGGCCGTCATGTGTGGGGGTCGTGTCCGCACCCAACCCGCCGCACGGGCTGGGTTTAGAGCATTCGCTGCCGCCACAAATGCGTTCAGGTTGTCCAAGTCCCAGCTCAGCACGAAACCGGGATCGTCGTCGTCGATTTCGATCGACGAAAGATATTCATTTAGCTACGTTACAGCAAGCATCGTCAGTATTTCGAGTCTCGCAATTGAGTAGTAAGTCAATCACCACTGGGGTTGCTGCGTGGAGCGAAAAGACGTTGCGCAGCCTCTCGTCGAACGAGTCAGCCGAGAGGAGTGGAGTAGACTTCATCCGCGTAGTCCTGCGCTTCCACCAGTCTGCAAAGCGACGTCTTGTGCCTCGCTTGCTCATTTCTGTCGATCTCTGTCCTGTCACTTTCTCAGATTGAAGGACGGTTTTTCCGCCCCAGGAAATTCTCACGAGATGTGTACCACATCATAAAGATCATCCTGGTACATGTAGTGCTACGAGTACATGTACTCCCCCTAATAGGGGGAGTCGAACATTAAGAAATGATCCAAAAAAATAAGCAGAGACGTGTCCAATTTGTAAGCAGAGGAGTGCACAATTACTGAGCAGAAACAGTAAAAGGGGAGAGGCTCAATTTCGCACTTAAGAAGAGACAATTTGCATTTTCTAAAGCGAAGACTCGCACGGACACTGCTGTGGCGCCACCACAGGCTACAGGGGCGCGTGCCCTGGTGCACTGTCGCCGTGCTATGGGTGCAGCCTTCTGTGCGGCATCTATCTCCAACATGTGGGCTGCACGACGCGCCTTGGGGCACCCGACTTCTGGCCGGAGACGGGTGCAGAGCGATGCGGCCATACACGGGCCTTCCTCCATTTCCATGCCGGTCTGGTCGGTGGAAGGGAGAATGGCGTTACCGCAACCATAAATACAACACCACGACACGAATTTTGGCAACTTTAGAGCGAAACGCAACCACAACGGGGCATGCACTCGGTATTATATTTTAATTTACCCAAGACCACGTGGCCTTCGTCGATAGGTTTGTCTAAATTTAGAGGTTCTAGACTGATGTGAGCCACATGTACATTATGTGGGACACAAGTATTCGCACACTTTGGGACTTCTCGATTTGCTGGAAGATCTCGATCATCGCTATGGATCAGAAGGCTTTGCCACTTGAGTTGGTTCGTGCAAGGCTTAATGAGCTGGAGAAGATGAGGACGGTGCTCGTTAACATACAACGCAGTATGGAGGAAATCATGGCAGCTCAGATGGAGTTTCAGGGTCGTATTGATGAGGAGGAAGCTTGCCTTTACCAGCTGAAGGCGGATTTCTTCGAGGAGGGGCAGCTCAAGATGACGATCTTTCGTTTAAGGTTTATTGGAGATGTATTCACAAGCTGAATGCATAATGCAGTGAACACGGTCTGTATTAAAGACTTAATTCAGGCTAAAACACTTACTCGAGTTCTTTTTGTAGCTTCTGTTTGTTGTGGTAGCGTCGGATTCGGAGATAGGTTGTTCCTTGGACAGATGCATAATGGCCCAAAGAATTCGTAGGCGCATCACTTTGATGTCGTGCTTGGTGACGTCGTAGCTTTGCTGTGTGGTGTTTCCAGTAAGGTAATTGTAGCATTGAGCTATAGCTAATACGCCGCAACTAGATCCATCTGGTTGTTGCGGTGAAAACACCCACTCAACGTCCTGGATCTCCAATTCCACATCCGCCATCGAGGACGCGTGCCACCGCTCGAGGAACCCGCGTAGGCCCTCTTTTGCTTTGCTTTTTGGGTGATTCACTTGTTCAGTAACACCCTCCCAGATCTTCATCATGTCCTTGTGATAAGAAGCATTAATCAAAGGCTCGTACATGTGTACAAATAGTCGTACACTAGTTGCCGTCGTGTGAAAACGCGTGATAATGACTCCCCAATGATTGCCGTCCAGGTGTACTGCGTGGAGGACAAAGTTAAGCTCTCCGATAGATACTTTTGGTGTAGAAGGCCACCCGATATCCCACATCAGTGACGAGATCACGTAGCAGCCACCAACAACCCCTCCAATTGTTCGTAAACAGAAGTCTATGTGACTGTCATTAAGCCAGCCCCGACATAGACCACCGAGAATGTTTTCGAAAGTGATCGATCCATTTCCGTGCAGCGTCATAAATTCCGTTAGTAAGCGACTTGATGCAAACTTTCCAATCATTTCGCTGGCCAAGTCTTGATGTCGATTGCAGATAGCTACTTCTTGTAAGCCTTGAGTCTTTGTCTCTTCTGCTAAGAGGCTCACATTTGATGGGATGATTCGCCAGTTTTGCTCTAGCCATTTCCGGTCTTTAATCCACGTTCGTCCCTTTAATTTGACATCGTGGAATCCAGTCAAAGCTCCTACAAACTTGCTGCGAGATGTTGTAGATGTAGAGCAACCATTCTGTTAGTGCAACCCGGTTGTAGCAACCATAATATGGCAACCTTATTGGTAAAACAACCTTACCTGCTAAACTTCCAGAGTTTCGGATCAATAGTGCCGACAATATCAAGGACGATCCCTTGATTATTCACGCTATCTTCGAGTGGACCCGGCGAGTCCTGTTCTTTCCATGCTGTCGTGACGGCGGCTTGGAGTGATCGACTGATATCAATTGGAACTGCAAATGCGTGCATGTAGTCCGTGTGCCGCATTGCTTCCCACCGACACTCGATGCTACGGGCTCTCAAATAGTGATCTTCAAGCTGAACTGGATACTTGGCAAGTGTATCCATGGCGAATTTCAAGTTTTCCGTGTTCCTTGCCCAACAAACAAAGCGATCAAGAGTCACAGTAAGCCCAGCTGGGTATTTGTGAATAGCTAGACGGGGTTGACCGGATGTCAACGTAGTTTGGCGGAGCTGCTTCGTCGTCACCCTGGAATTACCGCGACGTTTCGGCCGAGGAAGGCTTATGATATCAACAGCACGGCTTGCAATTGTTGGTACTTCCGGATCTGGCGGCGACATATTAGTATCATTGACGCGTTCTGGGTTTGCACTGTCCCCTTCAGACTCAGATGCTTCAGACTCAGATGCACCTCCACTATCCGTGCAGGCTTCTGTAGAGGGCGAAGCGGATTCTAGCTCGTCCATAAGTTTCGCTGTTTCCATTGCCTCAAGTGGGTCAAGCGAGGAGAAATCGTCTTGATCGTCATCGTCTTCGTTACTACTACCGTCATCGCGATTACCATTGACTTCGGGGTTGAGGCCAATCTCCACCGTGTCCTTCCCGGCAGAGAGTTCTTGATAGAAATCAGCGCTTGATAGACACGATAAATGTTCCAGCAGAGGCTCTAACACTGCTTTTGCGTATGAATACTTTTCCGATGACGACAAAACCACCTGGTTGGCACGCTCCTTCATGTGAAGGCGAACGTGTCCAACGTTGTTCTTGAAATAGCTTGCAGGACATAATTTTAATTTTGTTCATGGTCTTAGCCCTTTCATGTATCTATTTTTGAAACGATCGATCTGGACTCCAGATTATGTGATGTATCTATTTTTGAAACGATCGATCTCACAATAGACCAGCAGCGTATTATATAAGAGCGCTGTCCAAAAGAAAAGCGATCTCTTTTTTGGCTGCCAGTTTATTTTTCTCGCAAAAAAGTAGTCAGATCTCCAGTAAGATAAATATCTGATCTAGAATCTGATCAGTTCCGTATACGTACCTTTTCGGAGCTAACCTATGGGCTCACCCGTACAGCCAGGTTTTCCAGGGAAAACATCGCAAAGCAGTGGCCACAAGGCCATGAGCTCCAAACCTAGCGCCTCGCGATACTCCTTCTTCACGTCCATGGGCTGCACGTTAGCTTCTTGCTGGCTTGTGTGTCATCATTTGAGGTTGAACCCTGAAACCAGTTGCTGGGCATCTCAGGGTACTCGCGCTCTCCATCGTCATCTGTCTGTGAATAGTCTGCGTTCAGTGAGCTTGGTTTTCAGTTGCTAGGAGCTGATTTCGTTTGGATCGATAGGCAGAGCAAACCACCTTGGTAGATTTCTTCGAAGCTATCATTTTGGTGTCTGCACGTTTGGACAGCGACGCCATCGTGGCGGATGGTGTCGTTGCGGCTGTCTTTGTGGTCGCCGCGGGCTGAGCTTTGTAGGCAGGACCCCTAACTCTTTTGCGAGGTGGTCTGGTGGAGCAAAAGGAGATGCTGTCGAAGCCAAGCTTCCAGCACTATTCTCACTTGCATCAGGAGATGTCGGCACGATGTCTTCAGTCCACAAACTAGGATCAGCTATTTCCACACCACAGACCATCACTTAGCCACTCCAGTGGCCTGGGTCTGATAAGATTTCTTCGCGCGCAGGAGAGCTGATGCTTCGGTGATTGGACATACTCCGGTGACGTCGGGGGTGGAGGGTGAATAAGGAGCCGAGTACGGACGTGCTGCACGTGCGGAATGAAGGAGTGTGTGCTGAAGTGCGCGCGAGATGCCTTTTAAAACGCATTTGAAAATTATTCGTTTGACGGTTGTGAAGTAATAAAGTGAAGATACTGGTTGGACATGCCGACGATTTATTTCTCATGGGATCTGAAAATGATTGGTGAGTTCACGCACTTCTTCAGCCTCGAGGCTGCTCGTGCGTTGGTCAGTGTAGAAGATGAATCGAGAGGCAAACGAGGGCTCGTCGGTGGATGCCGAGGTGAACCCTGCTGAGCCGGTTGAGGGCGCGCCGGAGGATGGTGAAGTGGAGCCAGCTGAGCCGGTCGAGGACGTCGTTAGCACTGAGTTGCTGTTCGAGCAAGCTCGACAGCAACTCGCAAATGATGTAGGGCCTGTGCCACGACGTGGTGAGCGGACGACGCGCTTCTACAAGGCTATAAGTATTGCAAGGCATGGTCGTCCTCAAGGAAAATTGTGTATAGATGCTCTAAGTGTCGCCAAGGTTGCAGAGGAAAGCTGGTGTTTACTATTGCATCGATGGCGTATGCTGCTGTAGGGCTGCACACATGCCACATCGAAGCCATTGCTAACGTCGTCATCAACGTTGAGGACCAGATGAAAGCTCAAGCCGATCTTCTTGCGATTGAGCACGTCGCTTGGCCTGTGCGCCAAGTGTGGGAAGAATTGCGACACCAGTTCTATTCAGCTGACAATCCCAACGTTGTTCGTGGGTTGTCAGAGCAACAAGTTGTCCGACGAGTTCACCGAGCAAGAAGCGCGCATTACTCTATCAATGTTCACGGCTCTTTTGAAATTCCACCGCTTTCATTGGCACTAGACGAGGAGCTTTCCTTTTTCCAGTTTCACTACGTCACCATTAACCGCGACGATTTGAACA